AATCAATAGCAACCTTACTGGCGAAAAGTACATCTGTTCACCGACGGCTGACTCATTATGAAGTGTCTTCTGCTTGGCTGCGTCATTGGATCCCAGATTTTAAACTTGACTAGTGTTTCACTAGACCTGTTGTCTATGAATCCAATCGAATGCTCCTGCAGCAAGAAGTCAAGAAAGTTTCCTCAACAAATAATCCTACAACCATGAAACCAAAAAAAGGTCTGTAAATCCCCCCCCCCCCCCTAGCAAAATAAATTAGCTCTTTAGTTTCTTTGCTGCCTTCAATAAACCATCCACCTCAGCTTCATAGGATACATAGATCAACTCCTACTTCGATGGCCCTTCCAATATCCTCTGCCCCCGTTGAGCATTTGCCTCACCGACAAGACACTTGAGAGACTGGTGTTCATAATGAATAATGCACAATTATAATATCTATAAGACTCCTTTAAAAATAGTTTTTTGTTCTAAAACTTTGTTATTGCATTTTGAAAAAAAAAGTGGTTGAAATGTGAGTATTTGTTCAAATTTTATATGTTTTAAGTTTCTAAGATGTTTTTCATAAAATATAAAAATTAAATCTTACCGTCTGCTGTCTTATCATTATTGCACTTTACCTGACATTTTAAAATTTTTGCCGTGTTCGTTTTTATATTCGTATTATAAAAATATGAGGTATTTGTATTCGATTACTGATCTCCATTATTCGCTACATCCAGACGTTAGCACAAGTGGAATACGATCGGTGTGTTCTTTCTTAGTAGCGTTGAGTGTTTGCTCCTGGATACATTAATTAGCTTTGGTAGCTACATAGTTGATGAGAGAATCAGGGTAGTGTCTTTTAGAAAAGAAAGTTTTCGCGTCTTTGGATTATTTGATTTATAATCACTATCACCACTATATAGTGAGCGTAGTCGTAGAAATTGTATGGTATTGACTTTCTGCTACTGTAAAGATCGGAAGATTCGAAATGTAGGTGCGTGTGTGAATGAGTTGCTTTTTATTGTATATTAGTGACGTGATGATCGTCTTGTATGTATATGTTAATGTTGAAAAAGGGGAGTGTTGTGTCGAATATTTTCCAAGTAA